TTAAAATATGGAATGAGAACGAAAGAGTTTGAAACAATTTATTAGCGTTTTTTTTTCTAAATACACCAATGCAGAAGAGTAAACCACTTCGTCAGTAGTCAATATAAAGATAGATAGATAGATAGATAGATAGATAGATAGATAGATAGATAGATAGATAATTACAGGATGCGATAGATAGATGAATATGGCCAGGGTGAGATAGATAGATAGATAGATAGATAGATAGATAGATAGATAGATAGATAGATAGATAGATAGATATTTACAGGATGCCATAGATATATAAATATGGCCAGGATGAGATAGATAGATAGGTAGACAGATATGTACAGGATGCAATATATAGATAGATAGATAAATATTTACAGGATGCGACAGATAGATCGATAAATATGGCCAGGGTGAGATAGATAGATAGATAGATAGATAGATAGATAGATAGATAGATATTGACAGGATGCGATAGATAACTAAATATAGCCAGAGTGAAATAGATAGATAGATAGATAGATAGATAGATAGATAGATAGATATGGGTAAAGGTTGAGATAGATTTTTTGTTAACAGCATATCAGCTCATTATGGCTCATCTCATGCCGAAATTTAATTTACTTAGCTTTAAATTAATAAAAATATGTTATTCAGCTTTCACATTTGAATAAATGGTATTTGATACGCAGCTTTTGAGCAAATACAGTTTTGTGTGGATGTAATTAGAGGGGGTGATGTGTGTTTTATGTTTTAGTTTTGTTGAAGCTGTATTTTAGAATACAGTTTGACATTTTTAAGGAATTGTAGGATATTATATGGATTAATGTCATGAAAGCGTTCTTATCTGTTAATTGTTTTGGATGGTTGAAATTGCTTAGGCACATAATCTCTAAGGTTTATTTAATGTCGAAATATAAATATTATTGGACACAGTTCTTCAAAACAAATAAAATGTATTGTTGGCCATTTTACTATCAATTGGTGTTGTTTGTAATATTTTCATATAAAAACGTATTGCATGTTTACTATAAAAAGGTATTTTTCATGCTTTCATAATGTCTTGTTTGTTTGTTGGTCTTCGCTATATACCAATAGTTGGTAACATAACAGGTGCTACATCTCCGGGACAGAGGCCTGGCTGCCGGATTCAGTTTATCGTAATCCGCAGCGCTTGATATATAAACAGATAGCTATCTAGCTAGCAAGATAAATAGATAGATAGATAGATAGATAGATAGATAGATAGATAGATAGATAGATAGATAGATAGATAGAGATATGGATAAATAGATATGTACAAGATAGATAGATAGATAGATAGATAGATGAAAAAGATAGATCATGGATAAATAAAATATATGTTAAATATGGCAGGGTGAGGTGAGATAGATAGATAGATGATAGATAGATAGATAGATAGATAGATAGATATTAAATATATATAGCTTATATATATATATATATATATATATATATATATATAGATAGATAGATAGATAGATATGATAGATAGATACGAAGACATTAAGAAAGCTAGATAGAGAGGTAAAAGATAAAGATGGACAGATATATGTAGAAAACATTAAGATAGATGTAGATAGGATGCGATATAGATAGATAGAGATAGATAGATAGAAATAGATAGATTTACAGGATGCGATATATAGATAGATAGATAAATATTTACAGGATGCGATAGATAGAGATAGATAGATAGATAGATAGATAGATAGATAGATAGATAGATAGATAGATATTAAATATATATGTACAAGCTTATATATATATATATATATATATATATATATATATAGATAGATAGATAGATAGATAGATAGATAGATACGAAGACATTAAGAAAGCTAGATAGAGAGATATAAAAGCATAAAGATGGACAGATATATATGAAAACATTAAGATAGATAGATAGATAGATAGATAGATAGATAGATAGATAGATAGATAGATAGATATGAAAAAGATATAATCGGTAATTAAATATATATGTACATGCTTAGATAGAGAGATAGACAGATACATAGATAGATAGATAGATACGAACTCATTAAGAAAGATAAATATGAAAACATTAAGATAGATAGATAGATAGATAGATGACCTAGGGATCGATAAAGAGATATTAACAATCTGCTTTGGATAGATAGATAGATAGATAGATAGATAATCTTCTTCATATCTATCTATCATTTTACTTATTATCATGACTTTAGCATCTCAAATATTTTATTGACCAATAGTTTTGCATGACCATTTTACCCCCACCCCGACGTTTGCAATGAGCAACAAGCTCATTTCTTAATCCTCAAGATCCAGACAATACTGATAAAATCATCCGGCTAAACAATCTTAAATTCTTAATAAATTACATGTATGCAATCATGGGTCTACAGATTTTGCAAAGGTGCTATTAATAAATTCTCATTTAATTGGAAACAATAAAACTAAAAGTGATAATGTAGAAACACATAAACGATCATCATTTCGAGTCACTCTGCCATTCAAATGGCCAAATATATGACGAAGACACAGACGCATTAAAACTCGACGCTGATGACCGAAGACAGCGGCGCAGGCATCAGGATTCTGCTATTAACTGCAGCGTCTATTCCTACTACGCGATAAATCTCATAGACGGGTATATTTCCACACGTGAACTTTATCTACACCTACGATACAATACCGTGTCGTACGTATGTGATAGAATGCAGAGATTGGCTTTTTAATCATTTCTTTTTGTATACCGCCTGAGGCGAAAAGTATAAATAGTTCCTCATTGTTCACATGAACAACGTCTCACCTGCATTTGTCATGTTTTAACTACCGTTGGTTTTCTGTTAGAGCGTGTTACCTGCGAGGACATAAGAATAAAGACCTTACTCGTTGGTGATCTATCATTCACGAAATATGTTTTAATTATGAGCCATTTGATTTTTTTGGATTAACATATGCATCAGCTGGAACCCATTCCACTAATTTCAAGTCTTTTTTTTTCTTCTTTTTAAACAAAGTATTAAGAAACGGAAAATTTTCGACAGAACCAAAGGAAATTGTATTGAACCAGTCGGTACGTAATAGTTGTCTTCCTACATTGCAGGGAATACTGTACAATCTCCGCACATATGAAGATTGGACTTGAAGCAACAGAAACGTGTTTCTACAGAAGGATGCTGAGAATACCATGGACCGAACATAGATGCAACGACGATGTTTTCGATGAAATGAAAACAAAAATGTCACACGTGAAGTAGTGACAGTTGAATGTTTTAGGGCTCATAACGAGGAAAAACGGCTTGAAAAATTATATATACACACACACGCACATAAACCGGCTTTCCGGGAGTATATATATATATATATATATATATATATATATATATATATATATATATATATATATATATATATATGTATGTATGTATGTAATTACACTCGTCTCGGAAAACCTTCGGTTTCTTGATTGGCTAATGATCAAATGAATTTCGAAGGAAAAAGGTTTCTTTATTTAAAAAAAGAAAGAGCTAGGAACATGAACGTCTGTCGAAAAATAATCGTACAGCATACAGGTCCAAAGCCCAAAGAAAAAAAACCGATACGAGTAATCAACTAACTAAAAAAGTGCTCAATAAAAAAGTAGAGTAGACCTAGTCAAACCTACCAAGAATTCATATAAGCGGATCGTTTGCTTTCCCTGACGATGCACTTTGGTGAAACCCTGGTAGGTTTGTTTGGCTCTCTAGGTTTGACTATATATATATATATATATATATATATATATATATATATATATAATCATACAAAAAGTAGATTAGTAAAGTTAATGATATAAAATGGCGAACCTACGAACCATTTGATGAATGCTATGATAGTTGTTTTTAATAACGATAAGTTGTATAAGGTCGATTTTAAAATCTGCTAGTACTTTCAACTGTACATACAGTCATCGTCAGGCAGAGAAATTATTTTGTTTTTAGTAAATCCAAGTAGTAGCGGAAACGAAAAATTAAATGCGAATATATATCTATATATAGTCACTCACAGACAAATTGTTTTGCTGTACCACGTCAGCCCAGTGTGGCTAGACACCCGATTGCTTCAAGCCAGGATCGAAACTCGACTGATTTCACATCAGTTAGGTATCTTACATCTAGGCTAATGTCGCACGGCACAAAGTAAGGGAATTTTAACGTTTTTCTCTGTACGAAATACGCCAGATAAATGTTGCAGCCACTGTCTGTTTGTTTTCTTACTCTTCCTAGAGTTTGGAGTTACACCACGTAACACATATATTCTGAAACTAAATTACCCAAGAAACATTTCGATCAAAGAGAGTCTCAGGGGGTGCCCCCCCCCACTATTTTTTCCTTTGTTTTAAATTAAATTTCAATTTTAACAAAGGGTTGAATCTTATCCAAAATATAGAAAGAGAAAGCCAGAAGATGGAGGTCATACCAGCAAGATCATTTTAATCAAAGGAGATCCCGAGCACAACCCCACCACTGATTTTTTTTCCCTTTGATTTAAATTAACTATAATTTGAACAAGAGAATGACACCTAGACAGATAAAGCCAGAAGATGGAGGTGACGTTGGTAAGATCAAAATGAGACAATATAGACGTTAAGTTGAGCAAAAAATAATCAATGTGTAGTGCCTTACAATACATATTTGATGCTACAATTCAACTGTCATATCAATCTTGAAATTTGCGCATCAATTCATTCACCCAAGTATTGTATCAAATACACATCAAATGAGTCAGATCAAGCTGTTTTGCAACGATTTCATTTCCAAGTCTTTTTTCATTGCTCTTTGGACTGTAATAGCTGAAACTCCTCTCTCACTTGCCAAATTTTTATGGATTGTGTTGGATCTTTTCTAATTAATTTCTTTAGCTCTAAGTTGAATTGATGATCCATCTTCATATTGTGCCCTACGGATCCAGTTTTCATCTCTAGTGTTCCCTTTTTTAAAATTATTCACCGTTCTCCTAATGGCTCATGAATACACTTTGAAGATGGTAGCCAGAGAATGATTGTTGGCACCATTAGTGAAGGCCTAAATGATCTTTTTCCCCCTCACCATTTCCCAGTTGATTAAGAAAATATTGGGTTTAACAAAAAAACGATTTTAACTTGTTCTCTTTCTAGCTGAATAAGTTAAATAGCTTTTTCAATGATTCTTAAGACAAATGGTGTCAAGATGGCTGAATGTCATATCTACGAAGCTGGAAAAGGGAAATTCAGTTAGTTTAGAGTTTGTTTTTTCTTTAGATATTAAACATTTTGTGGGATGAACAGTTATGCTTTAACACGATTTGCACAACTTTGTAGTTATCTCCGATACTGAAAGAAGTATTCATATATATATATATATATATATATATATATATATATATATATATATATATATATATATATATATATATATATGTATGTATGTATGTATATTTAATGAATTATGAAAGACAAGTTATGACAAAAGAACAGTTTCAACTACAAGTTGATCTTGAGAAATTTGAGAAAGATATTCGAATAATCCTGAATATACACTAAGATCCCAGCGCATGAACTCAGTTAAAAAATGAATTCATAAAATAAACAAAAGTAGACTAGCGGGTAAGACAACTAAATATCTTTAAAACAAAATTATTCAACACTTAACTCCGTTAATTATTTTGGGAAAAGCGTTTCATGTTCAGACGAATTTTTTATTTGTTAGTAACTAAGAGACTGAGGTACCTTGATGTACCCGAGCGGTGGCTAAACACCTCTATATAACTATGATTTGATAATAGGAATCGTTTCAAGATCAAATGGACATAAATAGAATCAAGATCGACGTATAAACACGTCTGTAGCTGGTTTAGACGTGTTTATTCGCCCGTGTCTGAAAAAGATACTTTAAGTAAAACGTATATATACGCCTACTCCGAGGAAATTGTTAAAGTCCAGCGTGAATTTATATTGTCGGAAACAGCCTTCAGAAAACATGTTCTACAAAATAACAAGAAGTTAATAAAATAAACAAAAAGCAATATGTAGAAACCTCTTTAGAGCGTAGTAAAGGAAAGTGAGAAGCAAGAACGAACCATTATTTGTAAGACGGTAGAACTTTTCTTGCATTTCAACAAAAAAAACATTTCAACTTAATCAATACGATTTTGAGTTACTAAAATAAGCACCTACGCAAATTGAAATATCTGGGAACTCTTTTAACAGAGGAAGATACGTAAGAGATACGAAATTCTTTGGAAGAGCGAAATGTATCTTGCAAAAACACAGGAAAAAAGTAACAGCAAATGTACCTTGCAAAAGCACTGGAAAAAAAGTAACAGCAAATGTACCATGAAAAATACAGGAAAAATCTAACAGCAAATGTAACTTGCAAAAACACAGTAAAAAAAGTAACAGTAAATGTATCTTGCAAAAGCACAGGAAAAAAAGTAACAGCAAATGCACCTTGCAAAAGCACAGGAAAAAAGTAACAGTAAATGTATCTTGCAAAAGCACAGGAAAAAGTAACAGCAAATGTACCATGAAAAATACAGGAAAAATGTAACAGCAAATGTAACTTGCAAAAGCACAGGGAAAAAGTAACAGTAAAATTATCTTGCAAAAGCATAGGGAAAAAAGTAACAGGACATGTACCTTGCAAAAGCACAAGAAAAAGTAACAGCAAATGTACCATGGAAAATCACAGGAAAAAGATAAGAGCAAATGTACCATGAGAAATAGAGAAATGCATAACGACAGCTAATGTGAGTGACAGTAAAAAGATATACGTTACTAAGAGATGTAAAGGATAATTGTGGAGAGCACTGATCGCTCACGTCCTGAAGTAACGCATTACATAAAAGATGACCGTGGTTGGACTGAAAGATTCTAGCTTCCAGAAATCTGAATAAAGGGTCTTTCTACAGATATTTCGTTCAATGTTTCTTGGTTGGGACGAGAACTTTTACCAATTTGCCTTAAATATCTTCATCTTAACAAATCCAAGTTTATTTCCTTGCTTTCGAAACATATCGATCTATTGATCAAACATTCAGCGACAATTGGTTCTGGGAATAATTTTCACGTTATTCAGAACCCGGCAGTCATGTTCCGCAACTTGTAGTCCCAGTCAGTAGTTCTGCGAAAATATTATCTGCTTTCTGCTCTCCTTAGAGGCTACAACTTACTTTTCTCC